ATTGCCATTCTTCTTTTTAAAATTTAGGATCAGTGATTGGCATTCCCAATAAATGAAGTCATGGAAAGATATTGGAATTTGGTCCAGAAACCCTAACTTTTCATTGTGACTTCTGTCATTGTCATAATTATCCTATGGAGAAGGTTGATAAGGCACCTCTCCTGATTTTGTATAGGGAGTCAGATGCCCTATAAACACAAACCTCCTCTGCCCAGTGCCTACCTGTGGTGCAGTTCTTTCTGGCCTGAATTTGCAAGTGTCTTCCTGTCTCCATAGAGTAGGAGCAGAGCAGCTCAGACTCACACCTAATTCAGTGGGAGTAGATGAGAAGGGCCAAGGGGTTTCAGGATGAATTCAATATCATTCTCCTCACATAGGAGCTTGGTCATCCTGCTGTAATGAATGGGATGCAATAATGGGTTTGAGACATTCCTTTTTGTATTATTTCTATATAAGGGCATGCCATCAGGAGACAGATGACTCTGAGACATATTGGTTGGGACAGACTGGTTGGGATCAGCTGTAGCTCGAATGCAGGAATGTGGGACAGAAAATAGGAATAATAACCCTGATAAAAGAATATTAGGAGTCCCTGAGAAGGGAGGAGAGAGCTGAATCACAGTCTAAGGAACTTGTTCTAGCCAGGGGATCCAGGAAAGAAAACGTATAGAAGATATTTTTTGTACTGAAATATAATTTAAGTACCATAAAGATCACCCTTTTAAAGTGTACAACCCAGTAGTGTTTTTTATATTCCCCATGTTATATACCATCACTTTTATTGAGTTCAGGAACACTTCCATCACCCCAGAAAGAAACCTCTTACCATTAGCAGTCACTCCCTATTCCTCTTCTCCCAAATTCTGACAGTCAGTAATCTATTTTTCATCTGTATGGATTTGTCTATTCTGGACATCTATAATAATAAAAGCATAATATGCTAATTAGACTAGAGAGCCAAACAACCTTCTGGACGTCATTCCAGATGTCCTTCCGGACAAAGCTGCCACAGTGGGGGCTGAGGCAGAGATGATTAGGGGTGATCAGGCAGGCAGGCAAGCAGTTAGGGGTGATCAGGCAGGCAGGTGAGTGGTTAGGGGCAATTTGGCAGGCAGGCAGAGTGGTTAGAGGCGATGAGGCAGGCAGATGAGTGGTTAGGAGACAGTGGTCCCGGATTGCGAGAGGGATGTCCGACTGCTGGTTTAAGCCTGACCCCACCGGGATCCCTGCAGGATCAGGCCTAAACTGGCAGTTGGACATCCCCTGAAGGGTCCTGGATTGTGAGAGGGTGCAGGCTGGGCTGAAGAACCTCCCCCCCTCTGTGCATAAATTTTGTGCACCGGGCCTCTAGTTTCATATAAATGGAATCATACAAGATGTGGCCTTTTGTACTGGTCTTCTTTCATTTATTAATCTTCACTCAAGGGTATTTTTTTCCATTGAGTTTTAGAAAGAGTGGACGGGAGGGGTAGAGACAGAAAGAAACATAGATGTGAGAGAGACACATCAATTGGTTGCCTCCTGCACACACCCTGATCAGGGCTGGGATTAAGCCTGCAGCCTAGAATTGAACCTAGGACCCTTTAGTCTTAGGACTTATGCTCTAACTACTGAGAAAAACTGGCTAGAGCTGGTCTTCTTTCATTTAGCATAATGTTTTTTAAAGATTGGTCCGTATTGTAGCTTGTAGATCCCATTTGGTTATACATTCATTAGCTGATGAATATTTGGGTTGTTCCTACTTTTTTGACAATTATGAATGGTAATGTTATGAACATTCATGTATAAGTTTGTGTGGACATATGTTTTTAGTTCTCTTGGGCACATACCTAACAGTGGAACTGCTGGGTCATATGATAACTATGTCTAACATTTTGAGGAACTTCCAAACTGTTTTCCAAAGCAATCACACCATATTACAATCCTCCCAATTTTTCCACATCTTCATCAACACTTGTTATTATCTGTATTTTTTTATTATAGCCATCCTAGTGGGTTTAAAGTTTCCTTAGAGACTAATGACATTGGCATCTTTTCATATACTTATTGGCTATCTATATACCTTCTTTGGAGAAATGTCTATTCAAATCCAAGGCTCATTTTTAATTGGCTTATTTGTCTTTCTATTGTTGTTATAAAGGCTCTTTATTCTGGATACCAGACCCTTATCAGATATATGATTTGCAGATATTTTCTTCAGTTCTATGGGTTGTCATTTCACTTTATTAATAGTGTCCTCTGAAGCACAACTATTTTTATTTTGATGAAGTCTAACATAAGTTTTTCTTCAGTTACTTGTGTTTTAGGTCTCATATGTAAGAAACAATTTCCTGGGTCCCTGAGTTCCTGCCTAGGGTAGAGCTACCCAGAATATCAGACCGCCCAAATCACCTGTGTTAGGTGATTCATGGTCAACAAACTCTTGCTACAAGTTACTGAAATTTGGGGGTGGTTAATGTATGGGAACTTGACGTACAACAGCTGGAAATGCAGATAGGGCAGAGAAAATGAACTACCCAATATACAGGGCTGGGACAATTGGCTCTATGTATAGCAAACAGCTTTAACAAATCTGATCTCTGCTCAGTGCCCCATTCCAGGTGAATTAATTATATAAATATGAAAAATAAAACTTTAAAACTTTTAGTAGAATATACATGAGAACATCTTCATGATATCAGATAGGGAATGAAAGGCTAAGACACACAAAGTACCAATCAAGTGAGAAAAGACTGAAAAAATCAAGTGCATTAAAATGGAAGACTTCTGAATAAAGGCACATAAGTGTGAATACAAGCCATTTGAAATATATACCAATAAAGCATCAGTATGCATAATATTCAGAGAACTCCTATATGTCAATTAGAAAGACAAAACACTTCAGTAGAAAAACGGACAAAAGTTATGAAGGGGCATCTTATAAAAGAAAAAACTTGAATAGCCCATACCTATGTGAAAAGAAAATGTTCAATCTCACTACCTGTCAGAGACTTATAAATTAAAACCTATATAATTGCTAATTAATTAAAGCATGGCAGTCACTGCCTGCGGTGGGTGTGAATCTGCGAATCGCAGCCAGCGATTTGAAAAAGTTGTGAATCTCTAGAGAAGCTGAACCGCTCAGGCCCTCTGTCCAGGCCATTTCCTGGGTAATGGAATTGGTGATATGCTGTACTTCTCCAGTGTGGTGGTTCGTTCTGCTGCTCTTCTCACCTTTCCCTTTGTCAGGAGTAGTTCATCATTTTGTGAAGACAATCAAGCTGCAGTTTCTATCAGATCTACTTCAGCCCTTTCCTTTATTCTCATTGAGAGCAGTTCTTCTGATATTAACCCTTGAACACTTTCCAAGCTCTTATGGAAAACTGATTTGCTGTGATGATGAGCCACTGAATTTAAAAGGGGCCTGTAAGTGTTAATAACATATCAGAGAGTCCCAGACACTACTCTACACATTTTATCAGCTTTTTAAAAATTCACTTGCATTAGTTCTTATAACTCTCACATTAGTTCTGTGAGCTCAATTACCATTCTCCCCACTTACAAATGAGGGAGCAGAGGTGCAGAGGTGGGAGGCAGAGGCAGCAGTTCCCACAGCTGCTTGGCTCTCTTCCAGGTCTACACCATTTACCACCCAGGCAGGCAAGGGCAGGGTCAGGTTTGTTGGGGATGAGATGACTGAATTAGACACACAAGTCATTTCTGCTGGCTGAATTCTCCAGAAAAACATTTTCCTGGCTCACACAGGCACAGTATGTTTATTTCCAGTACTTTTCTTCCTCTTAGTAAATAACGGTTTCCTATTGTCTGCATTGTTATGAAGTACCCAGAGCATTTATGGAACTCAGTACCACTTCCATATTTAGAGTACTTTTCTTAATTTTTTTTTAAATTTTCAATTAGAGTTGGCATTCAATATTCAGTCTCAACATGACTTCTTCTCTGTATCATCTGTATATATAAAAGCCTAAGCAGCCAAATGACTGAATGACCTAACAACTATTCGATCGGTTGCTATGACATGCACTGACCACCAGGGGCAGACGCTCAATGCAGGAGCTTCCCCCAGTGGTCAGTGTGCTCCCACAGCAGGAGTGCCACTCAGCTGACCAACTTTAAGGCTCTCTGTTTAATTTAGTAAATTGGGCCTCTCAGTTGTACTCAGAGGTGTATTTAGAAGATTTGTCCTTTAACAGGAAATAGATGGTGGCGTCACTGTCTGTAGGTTTGGAAAGACCTAGAAGAGCTTGGGCCACAACCACATTGTGCATTTAAACCTGACACATACCCCAATTTGCCATACCTTCAGAGTGTCAGAGCAGTCAGTCACAAATACACCGTCTTATAGAGAGTCTGCTTTTGTGTTGAATAGTAAACTGAAATTATCCATAAATGTCTTCTGTCTTAGAAATAACCTAGGCTCTAATTCAGGGTCCTCTCAGTTTGGTGAGGCCTCAGCTCTTCAAGCAAAAGCTTCTTGAGTTTCAAAGGGATTCTCTGTGTCCAAGCTTTCCCGTCTCCCTTCATCCCAAGCTTCTTATTCTGAAGGTGGAATTAGCTGGGTCCAAGGAAGCTCTGCATAAACTGCCTAGTGGAGCACGTGTAAGTCCTATTCTCACCCCTCCTGAGCCCCTCACATGGGTTTCTAAGAAAGGGTTAGAGGTACCAGATAAGTGCATATCATATATAGTTACACAGCCATGTAGCTATAGGTATTTGTGTGTGGCAGGGGGAGGGGTTGGCTTGTGTGTGCATTTATGTAAAATCTCTGGACTGAGGCTGCTGTTGACTTTTATGGAGCCCCCTGCCCAGGATATTTAAATGATAGACTCTATGTGGTGTCTGAAGGGAACTTTTTTCACAGCTGGTCCGGAAAATTGCTTTTCAGGACTACTCCCTGGGAGGTCAAGTTCCAAAGTGGGATTGGTTGGCAACTGCAAATGGCAATGGGGTCCATCCATTTTTCATGAAGATATAATTAGACCACTGTCTGCCTCCCACAGGTTCAGCCTTTGGAAATGAAGAGCAGCCTGCCCTGAAAGCAGCCCTGCCTTCCAAAGACGCACCCAAGGGAGCTGGCCGCATGGCCCCTCTGGCGACCCCCAGTGTCACTACCCCCCGCAGGAGTTTGCTTCCAGCACCAAAATCCACAGCCACACCTGCTGGTAAGACTTTTTGCATTAAATGTCTTTGGAAAGTCTCTGTGCACATCAGTTATTTAGATGGGATGATAGATGAGTTTTAAATGGCACTTAAAGTTAATAATAATTATTATAATCCTATATAATAAAAACCTAATATGCAAATTAGCTGAACAGTGGAACAACTGTTGGAACGATCGGTTGCTATGATGCACACAAGAAAAATGCAGGAGCTGCCTCCAGTCAGCAGGGGCCCCCCAATCTCCTGCATCGCCCCACGGAGGGAGGCAATCAGCAGTGGCAATTGGGGGGGGGGGCAAGGCAGGTACCAGCAGGGGCCGCCCTGATCGCCCAACCAGTCACCCCACAGATTGGCCCTGATTGCCAGCCAGTCCTAGGAACCCTATCTGTGCATGAATTTCATGCACCGGGCTTCTAGTATCAATTATAATACCATTGTTTTTAAGGCACACTCATTTTTCATGTTAAAATTATCACAACTGCCTCTCACTCTTTTGATTGTAAAATAAACAAGAAGCAAGCTATTTTAGGCCAGATTGGCATTTGTCTCAGGGAAGCAGGAGCTGAGAAAATCACTGGAAGGACTGTGGGAGCAAGCTCCGGACTGTGCCTCCAGGAGAGAGTCTCAGGACCCCAAGGGCACCAGTTCCTCTCTGGGAACCCAGGATGCTGTTGCCCCTGCTGGCTCCAGGCTTGTGTCACCAAAGCTGGGATCCTGGGATCAACAGCTACCTCAGAAGGGCTGACCCAGAGCCACGCTTTGCCTGCTGGATCCAGACCATGCCTTGCCCCTCCACACCTATGAAGCTAGTGGCCAGACACAGGAAACTCAGCTGATGCAAACACAGGACAAGCAAAGATGTTTGTCAGCGAAAATTGCCGGAGCAAACCAAATGTGGCCCCTGCCCCTCTGGCTCTCCCATATCTCACGCACAGGTATCTGTGCACCTGCAGGGATGCCCAAGGGTGTAGTTAGCCTTCCACCTTCCACCTTCCACACATAGGAAGGCACACTAACAGGGAGGGAGAATGGATGTTGGGCCCTAATTCACTATAGAGCAAGATCTGTGAAGGCGAGACAGTAATTTGTTTTGTTCCCCTGCCTTAGATAAGGAGGCCACTGTGGAAAAACCCAGAGAAAGTGGGATTGAGTTATCAGGTGTGAACTGGGAAAACAAAGCAGGAAGCTCATTTTAAAGATTTTAGAACTTTTCTTTTAATCTAACTCCAGCACCTGAGGCTTCCTTGTATTTCAAAATTATTGTTGTTAATAGTGAATTTTAGCATTTCATTTATGCCAGTGGTTTGAATTTCTAATTTAAATGAAATCTAGTTTCTAAAAGGAAGTCAGCTTCCACACTGCCTCATTTGTTCATCATCAAGCTAATTAAAAAAGTTGAAGGTAGGCATGCAGGGTACAGTTAAATCCCAAATAATTGAATTTCTGGGAACTGTGAAGTGTTTGGATTATTTTAATTACTTGGGTTGTGCCAACCAAACTGTGGTGCTTTGCTTCCTTCCCTTGTGATCGCAGCCTAGTGATGGCAACTCTTGCACCTTTGGGTCATCTGCTCCTTGCTGTCATCCTGGATTGTAGATGCCACATATGCCCACAATAGGACATACCCTGGGTGTCCTGGGGCTGCCTCCTTAAACTCGATTCCTGGTGTGAGATGTTTTGTGAGAGACTTTTTTTCTGATTCATTTATTCAACAAACATCTTACTGCTCGCTTTAAGCCACAGGTGACTTGGATTTGACAATAATTAGAATCACCCTTACCCTGGAGGGGCTAAAAATGAGGTGCACAGATTTGTAAACGAATAATTAGAGTGAGAGCAAGTATTTGTAATCTTACCCACTGGAGTCCAGTTCATTCTAGCAGACAAAGAATTTATAGTAAGATGGATTGAGAAGCAAGTGAACTGAGAAAGCTTAAACTAAAAATAAGTATGTTCTATTATTTATTTAATCCCTGTTTGTTTTTATTTATTTAATTATTTTCTAATTTATTTTGTATTTAATGACTTTCTAATTTCAGAAAAGATCCAAGATAGCATTCAGTAAAGGGACCATAAAAACATAGGTACAGGGATAAAAATCCAAGTAACACAAAAGAGAAAATCCTAGGCTTGGAGCTTCCTGACCACAAGGGCAGACTAAGAAACACAATCAGGGGAAGAAGAGCGTGTCACGTCACCCAAAGAGAAATTTATATTCTAGCACAAATTGTTAAGATTTTACATCTTTGACTTAAAAAATTGTGGTGAACAACATAATAGACAAAAACTTTAATTGTATGTTTTCAAAACATTTTCTGATAATGAAATAATTAGAAATTAGTTTAAAATGTTGGAATAGGAAATGCCTTTCTCAACATGACATGAAACCTGGAAACATTTTTTAAAATGATAGATTCAACTACACAAAAATTTAAAATTTTTATGAAAGACATAAAAAGACAATAAAAGACATCATGGAGATAAGAAGGATGATAAACAGATAGACAATTCTGCAATGAAGTGTTAATATGCATGCAATTGAAAGAATGCCTGAAAATCAATAGGAAAAAAATACAACTTAATTTGAAAAATGGGTAAAAGAAATTCATGAGTAATTCACACAGGGGAAGTGCAGAGTGGTCAATGGCCATAAACATCTGGGGATTGTCTGGGTACCATTAAATATGCTTAGGGATTTGTGAACTCTACCTTGTTTAGTTCTGGATGAAACGGGGTTTAGGGGAATTAAGTAAACCCCTTACCCAGGGTCATATAGCTTCTATGGAGCAGAGCAGGCATTCATCCGCGTCGTCTGACTTAAAGCAATCATTCAGAGTCATGTCCCTATGTACCTAACCGTGGCTGATACTGCTGCTTAGATGCCCTTACTCAGAGGGAGGCCAATTAGTAACAGTCTTTTGAAATAACTACCATTGGAAATACTTCTTAGACATTGAGTTCTTCTTTCTAGGACAATGCTGGTGACCTCACATATGGCTTCCCAGATCACCTATAATAATTCTGTAGTCTGTCCATGTCCCTCCTTCCCTGAGTTTTCAGACACAGGTTGAGAGCTGTGTTTAAACATGTTTGGAGGTGTAAAATATGACCCACTCCAATAATATTGTCTTCCTGTAAATTAATGATTATTGCCCCATTGACACCAATATGATGGCAATGGAAAGTGTTGTGGGTTTAATGCTAGTAGTAAAAAATATATATATTAAACATCCTCTGAATGGCTATGTAAATGGAAGGTTCCCAAGAATTTTAGAAACTTAGCCTTTGTCTTTCACTGTTTCTCCCTTTGCCGCCCCCCGCCACGCCCCCTGCAATTTTCATGAAGAGCTCTCCTGTTGTTCACATGTCAAGCACAAACTCTCTTGGGCATTGATTCATATTTTATATGAATAGTTGGCTTTACTTCAAACTGGTTTGTAGTTGTTGTAACAAATAGGAAAATATTTTCAGATGAAAATAGTGATCTGAAGATAAATTACTTCTTGGTCAACAGGCCCTCTGATTCTGTCATGTTGACATGATGAATTATAGAAAATAGAACTCCTTTATCCAGCCTAAGGTATAGAGGATTTCCTGTGGTTATATAGAAAATGAACAGCTGGTGTCTTACTGTTTGGGTTCCTCTCTATCTGGGGGAGGGAGGACCCCTGGGACTAGTGAGGCTGCTATGCTACAGATTACAGAAACCACTGTATCAGAAAAAATAATTTTACTACTTTAAAAGCAAGTTTTTATTTCTGCATTCAATTCCACAAATTTTGGCATTTGGGGGCATATTATAATTTAAAAATACAAGCAGTTCATCTACATCATCAACATGTGTTTATTGAGCATTTTCATGTGCATGTGGGCCAGAAAGAGCTGCTCTAACATTTCAAAGAGGAATGGAGAGGGAGAAAGAGATAGAAATATGAATGATGAGAGAGAATCATTAATGGGCTGCCTCCTGCATGCTCCACACTGGGGATCGAGCCTGCAACTGGGGCATGTGCCCTGAATGGGAATCAAACCAATGACCTCTTGTTGCATGGATGACACTCAGTCCACTGAGCCACAGCAGCTGAGCTCTGGGCACATCTTAAATGAAGAAATTGAGGAAGAGCTTCAGACCTTAAACATTCTGCTTTGGCAGAATGTCGGGTCTAGATGATTTGGGGGTGGTTCTTGCCCTTGCATGTAATACAAACTCCTTTCACGTTAATAGCTCAAAGAGCATGTTCTTTTCCTGATAATGAAGGAGTTGTGGCACCTTACAATGTGGGAGCCCACGTTGATTCAGGAGCGTCCAGAAACCTCCCTGGAGTGGGACCTGCAGGAGGCAAGGCCAAAGCAGTCAGGCTGCACCGGGCTCTTTGCGGTTACTATGCGCTGTCAACTGTGTTCTCCCTGAAGCTGAGTCTCAAATGCAGTCACAGCTTCAATTATTTGTCACTGTGAGCCAACAGGGGAAACTGCAATAGATTGGGATAGAGGAGATAATAGGAGAGTAAATGTGTTAGGAAGAATCTTTGGGGGAGAAAAATTAAAGCTATAATTTTGAGACCCATTCCTTTGCATGAGGTCATAGAGATAGAAAATATAGTGGGGTTGGTGTATGGTGTGTGTGGAGCCATGCATTTCATCATTCAGAGTCATGTCCCTGTTTGCTGTTCTATCTGGCCAGCAGTGGGGAGGTGGCTAGTCCCTCACAACAGGGCAGGAAGCACTGCAAATCATGAGCTGTAACTTGAAAGTCAACTCTCAATCATCCCAGGCACTGAGGAGTGAAATCTGGATGGGCATCCATTCTCTCAACACATGTTTACTGAGCACCTTCTTTAAGTTGAGCCCTGTGCTGAATGCCTGGGGAAGCATGAGGGATGGAGCCAACGGTAAAACAGGAGCTTATACTTACATATTCAATTAGAGGCCTGATGCACAAAAATTTGTGCAAGAGTAGGCCTTCCTTCCCCCGGCTTCCGGCACCAGCTTCTCTCCAGCA